GTTGGTTCGACACACCTTGAAAGTTGCAATGAAATGGCAGGAAATTTTGATTTTTGGCAAATTTGTCAACATTGAGTCAAATATGAACGTTTCTATCACCTACACGCTCTTCTTTAAAAAGCTCATAACTTCTAATCGAAAGCAAGTAGCAACTTGAAATTGGCACAAACTATAAAAGACATTGGGTTCTCAAAGTGTGGAAAGTTGCATTGAAATCGAGGCAAATTCAGATTTTTGGCAATTTTGTGATCATCGGATCAAAAATGAACCGTTTATGTCACCTGCACACTTTTCTTTAAAAAATCAAAACTTCTAATCGAAAGCATGCACCAACTTGAAATTCCCACAGTTTGTGGAGGACGTTTGACGGAAAAGTTCTAAAGTTTTAATGAAAGTGCACCGAGTTCTGCTGTTTGCCGGTTTTGTGAAAACTTCGTCACAAATTGGGTTTTCTATAAATTACACAGCGTAATTTAAAAATTCATAATTTCTAATCTGAAGTAAGAAGCAACTTGAAATTTGCACAAAATAGAAAAGACACTTGGCTCTACATGCCTTAAAAATTTCAATTAGATCGCAGCAAATTCTGATTTTTGCTAACTTTGTAAACCTTGGGATAGAAAATAGGCGGTTTGTATCAATTACACGATTTTATTGAAAAAATCGTAACTTTGCATCTGAAGCAAGCAGCAAGTTGAAAGTCTCACAATCTTTAGAAAACACTTGAGTCTAAAAACCGTGAAACTTTCACTGAAATCGTACTAATTTCTGAATTTTGCCAACTTTGTAAACATTGGGATAGAAAATGAGCGGTTTCTATCAACTACACGCTTTTGTTGAAAACATGGCAACTATGCATCTAAAGCCAGCAGGAAGTTGAAAGTCTCACATTCTTTAGAAAACACTTGACTCTGAAAACCGTGAAACTTTCACTGAAATCGCACTAATTTCTGATTTTTCTCAACGGTGTAAACATTGGGATAGAAAATGCGAGGTTTCTATCAACTACACGCTGTTATTGAAAAAATCGTATCTTTGCATCTAAAGCCAGCAGCAAGTTGAAAGTCTCACAATCTTTAGAAAACACTTGACTCTGAAAACCGTGAAACTTTCACTGAAATCGCACTAATTTCTGATTTTTCTCAACG